AAAAAAAAAAAAAAAAAAAAAAAAAAAAAAGGGGGGGGGGGGGGTGGCGGGGTGTTGGCAGACACTTACCTGCTTTGCACTCTGTAGTTCAGGCAGCAGAGCACGTGTCTTGCAGCAAATCAACCAGCACAATTAACTAGCAGACATACAGAGTTGCAAACAGTGCAAAGCAGGCACAACAAGACTAAAGAAACAGAGAATTGTTTTTTGAAAAAAGTACGATTAACTTTGAGCTTTGAACTTTGAACTTCGCATTATAACTCCTTTTTTCTTGTTGTCCTAAGAGTTTTCTCGATGTTGTTGTCTGCTTGCTATGCCGTCTTGTTTTTTCCCTTGTTTTTTCGAGCACCTTCAAGTTGTGCCAAATAGTCGGTTTTGGCTTCTGCTGTGTTTTTCCTGCGTACGGAAGCCTTGTAGCCTTCTAATTGTGCCAAATACTCAGTGCCTGTTTGTAACTTTGTATAGAGCACCTGCAACACCATTAGGGGGTGGCTGTGTTTCTGCTGAGTTATCTATATGATGTGTGTAGGGGATAGTCCATCCATTCTGAGCTGCTGGGTCTTGGTGTCGCGCCCACTCACCCACCTGCCCACTCACCTGCCCTGCCACCCAGCGTCCCTTACATAGACAAGAGTTCAAATCACATCAGGAAGAAGGTGTGGGATATTCCTGTCAGCATTAGCCCTAGTCTAAATCTCCGCTCAAAATCGGCGTACAGCTTGCCATCATCCATCCCCTCACAGTTGATGCGCCTTAAGAAGGAATAGGATAAACAAAAAAGAAACAAAGTAATCCCCTCACAGTTGATGCGCCTTAAGGAATAGGATAAGCAAAAAAGAAACAAAGTGATTTGCACACACCAACAGAAATGAAGGTATTGAAGCGAAAGGATATCCCCTCACAGTTGATGCGCCTTAAGGAATAGGATAAACAAAAAAGAAACAAAGTGATTTGCAATTTTGAACACATCAACAGAAATGACGGTATTGAAGTGAAAGGGTAAGCAGTTGGAACATGGTGATGCACATGTAGCAACTTGAAGAAGATGAGGAGCGCGTAAGGACCAGGTTGTTTTTTTTTTTTTTTTTTTTTTTTCCTAACAGGTTGTAGGGATGGCAGGGATATTACGGAGGGAGGAGAGCCGGCAGGGGGCCACAACTCCCAACTGTTCAGTAGTCGACATATTTCCGGCAGCAGGTTGGTGGGCACGAGAAGTGTGGGGGTTATGTTTGGTGTGCATTTTTCCAACCATCCTGATTTCCGTCGTATATATTATTAATTTAATATTAACAGATTATGGTTTTGTGGGTCATCCGTTACGAAAAGAACTTACCTTAGTATTATTTATACTAATGTTCATTGCAATACCATCATTTGCTCCATTATATTCCATTGGATGAGGTAGTAGATCCTGCAAAAAATACTATCAAAGTGAGCCAGACCCACCCACACACACAGGGCACTCACGCCGGAATGCTTTTTTTTTTTTTTTTTTTTTTTTTTGTGCAAGTAAATGACAAAGATACTTTCTGAGGAACATCTGAGAGTTTTAGTTGCCTGCTGAGGCACTGTCTCCGCGAGTGCGAGTGCAAAATTACCTGTTTAGGAACCTCCGAGAGCTCAAAATTACCTGTTTGGGAACCTTTGAACGATCAACGAACACTCCAGAACTAGAAACAGTTCGGAAGTTTTTATGAAATCTTGAATTGGACATCAGGATAATCTCAAAATTTGCAAGCAGAGAACTTCCTTTCTTTTTTTTTTGTCTTTTTTTTTTTTGTTAAAAAACTCCCTTCCAGTGCTAGTGGTGCTGGTAAATGCAGACACCACTAGCACCTGAGGAGAGGCTCCATCTATTGGTGGGGAGCATCACCTGCTGGAAAACGGGTCCATTTCAAAACTTCAAAGATTTGAAAAGAATGAAAACACACAAATGTGATCTACAAATTCAAATTGCTTGCAAATTGCAATGGAATGTCCCCTACCAAATGCAACCAGAGATGAATCAGTCAGATATCTGACAGCCTGGACAGGAAAGAAAAGATATTTGACAAACTCAGAGATGGGCCATGATGGCATTACAGCACACAGTATAGTTGTTCTGAGTGTGTCAGTGAGCGGATCGGAAGATTGGGTGGAGAGAAGGAGAGATGAAGAGATAGACGATGGAAAGACAGACAGGTGGGAGAGATATGGAGGGGGTAGACGCAGAGTCGGTATGTCGATGTCGACAGGGGATCCATCATCCAAATGCAGCAATCAAGCAATTAATCAACCAACCAGTTCTATCAATCATCCTAAAAGCTCGTACCAATCAATCAAGCAATCAAATTTCGATTAATCAGTCGAGTGACTAATCAGCTAATCAATCAATCAGATTAGGAATGAATCAATCAACCAACCAACTGACCAACAAAGAATCAATCAATTAGAGCACCAAATCAATCAAATGAAATCAATCCGTCAATCAATTGACCGAACTCCAGAGTAGTGCAGAGGAGATCAGTTCCCCAGAGTCAAACAGATGTGTCATCATCAACTGCAGCTGAGTCACAAATTGCTACAGTCCCCCTCCATGCATAGCCTGCCTCGTTCTATATAAAGCCAAAACTCCGTTGCATGGGGGTTTATGACCAAGAAGGCTAGCACTGCCCGGCACTGATGTGAGCACATTCCGTTTTTGGTCTCTTCCTTCACTGTCAGCGGCTAGCCATTTGCATATTCGGATATTCCCCCTTTTGATGGCATCATCTTTGATGGCATTTGCCCTCAGGCTGCTAAATCCGCTCAGAACTTACCAGAAGATTCACCTACCCATAAGGCACGGCTACATACATGCTACTCAGGAGTCAGGAGGAGGACGCAACTACCCATAAGGCACGGCTACATACGTGCTACTCAGGAGTCAGGAGGAGTTGTCTGAGTGAGAGAGTCGTCGACACGAGATACTGCTAGGCCCTACTGAAGAGTTGAGAGTCGATGACATGTCTAAATCAGAAAGTCTTCATCGTCGTGTGACGGAATCTGAAGCCTCGTCCGCATCTTCATTTGCTTCCAAAATCTCCTCCATTTCATCGCGAAACCTTCCATCTGCATGCCCTGCATGGGCCCAAAGATAAAGTGGGCCCTCAGGCAAATCTTGGGGTCTCTTTTTCACTTGCGACAGTTGGTCAGTGGGAACTTGGCAAAAGTCCCGACAGTCCCTCGGGAGTCTTTTGGGAAAATATCTCGGAGCGTTGTCCCCACTCTTCAGCTTCTCATGTGCTCCTGCGCAAACAAGTGGAATTCTGAGAGCGTTTGAAGGCGAGGTCCCAGGTAGTTAGTGCCAGCTCGCTCGCCCATTCTGTGGCCACGTGCATGCTCCCTAAGCTTTTTTTTAAGACAAGGTCCCGGGTAGGTAGTGCCAGCCCCCCGCTGGTGCTATGTTTGTCCTAAGAAACCAGAAACCTCGCTCGCCCATTCTGTGGCCACGTGCATGATCCCTAAGCTTTTTTTTAAGACAAGGTCCCGGGTAGTTCGAGCCAGGTCCCCACTGGTGCTATTTTTGTGCTAAGAAACCGGAGACCTCGCCTGGTCTATGGCCACGTGCATGCTCTCTAAGCGTGAACGTACCACCAATGACGCCTCACCCTCAGTCTTTCAGATCAGGCCGACGTCTGGCAGCATTGTATATACTATATAGTATATACCCTCTCTCAAAAATCCATCTTTTCGGACCCCAAACTCCATCACTTCACTACCGATTACATCCTTTCGTCTTGTTGCTTTGGTGGCTCGTGCCCTGTTGATGAGGACCTGAAGAAGGAGCACCTGCATTCGTTGTCCCAGGCCCGGATTGCTGCGGATTATTGACTTTCCCCGGGGGAGCTGAGGTTGAGGCAGAGACACCACGTGGCGCCTTTGCGTCCACGGTTTCCGAGTTACGATCCCGATAGCGCTTCTGACCGCTCGCCACTTGTTGCGTCTGAGGGGCTGACAATTGCTTCAAGGACTTCCAAAGCGATCGAACGTCATCCAGCCGCTTCCTCATTTCCCGAACCCTCACATGATTATTGCCGACATGAGTCACCATAATCTTGATGGCAGTTTCATAGCTTTCACACGCCTCCTCCATCAGTTCCAAACCCACTTGGACATTGCCTATGTACTTGAGGGTCTGCAGGCAAAGGCGTAGGCGTAGGCGTAGGTTTGAAGTTTAGCATTACTCTGATTACATATATTTGCACTCGCCACACAGCAGCTTGGTCGCAGAATGGGAAGAGGTTTATAACTTTAGACAATACAAATTATACAATCCAATAATGCTGTTTGATATTGATTGGGTGGGCTCATAAAGACCACAGAAATTTCGCCACAACTGCCATTTCGAAACAATCTTGGAAACAGAAGCTCACCAAGTGCGGAGCATCTCTCTCTCTTTCTCTCTCTCTCTCTCTCTCTCTCTCTCTCTCTCTCTCTCTCTCTCTCTCTCACACACACACACACACACACACACACACACANCACACACACACACACACACACACACACACACACACACACACACACACACACACACACACACACACAAGAGTTACAAAAATCTATGGACGAATTGCTCTGCCTCCTTTCTACAAATGAAATAACTCTCTCTCTCTCTTCCTCCTGTAGTCCTGGTCTCACTTGAGTGGTGATTGGGTAAAAAAAGGGAGGAATTCTGGATGGCATTGTCATGGACAAGAAAGAAGTTGAGAATTTCAGAAATTTTATAGGCAAATTCTCCGTGTCAAGAGTTTTTCTGAACATTTCATATCATGTAATGACCTGCGAAATTGCAAACTGAGAAATCTGCAGTTTCTGGGATTTTGCTACATACTGGGCTGATTTGCTAATATTCGATTATATTTCTGTGTTCTGCTGAGTGCTGTGTTTGCCGTTTGCCTGAGTACTGGTGTGTGCGTGTGTGACCCGTCGAGAACAGTCTGTGAGCTGGCCTGTGCGTTTGGGTTGCAGCAGGTAGACTAGGCCCGCGGAAGCCAAAATCAGAAAGTAGAGGGAAGGGTAGCAAAAGAAAACGACAAAAAGGTAGTGCCTTTGAGGAGGCCGTGCAATAATTGTAGAGTCCGGTAGGCTTAGGGGTAGGTACCAGTCCAGTAAGTCTGAGTGTAGAGCCTGCAGAAAGGGGGATATCAGACTGCAGTGATGTTCCCGCCAAAAGCAAAGGGAACTGGTAGTCCTGGGAGGCCACGCAGCCTGGAAGTCACCTCGCGGAGAGGCACTAGTCGGGTATACCAAGAGAGGAGGCGAAGAGTTCAGTCTCATTTGTTGGCCAGCAGTTTGGAGGCACGCTGCTCGTGCAGCCACCCGGCTGAAGCAGCGCTGCTTGGTCCCCACCTCGGCTATGGTGGAGGCGACCAAGATGGAGGTGGGAGAGGCCCTAAACATGGCGGAGGCCTTAGGAGGAGGAAGAAGGAAGGAGGAAGAAAAAGGAGGAGGAAGAAGAAGGAGAGTGAAGAAGGAGCTCACCTTGGCTATGGTGGTCTGCATCTTCATCTTTTTGCTTGGCGCTGCACATGGAAGGCCCCAAGTGGGGAGATAACTTGGAAGGGAGACTCCGGGGGTATATTGTGGCATGGCGGCCATAGTGGGAGGGGCATAGCAGCTTTGCGTTGTCCTCTGTACACCAGAGCTAAGCTCCAAAGGTCCGCCACCAGAGTAGCCAAGTAGTGGGAGAAGGTGTAGGATGGCTATGGTGGACTTCTTGAGTGGCTGGCTGCAATGACTTGCTGTTTTCTGGTCGCCTGTAGCCTCTCTCTGTCGAGGCTGTACTATAGGTAGGATAGATTCGTAATTTTGTCGGCTGAGGGCTAACCGAGAGACCTACCTGTGAGGGAAATCCATGAGGGACATATCTGTAAATTCGGGAAAAACGCAGGCGCGGTACTAACAGACTTCCCTACAACTACCCTAACTGCGAATAGCAGGCCCGGGCTACCCCTAGGACAGACAGGCCCTAAGGGCCTATTCTGATAGACGGTCCTATAGCCTATAGCCGGGTCCGGTAGAGGCCGAGAGGGCGAAACAGAAACGGTACCGGTCGGTCAGTCAGTCCGGTCTAGGTCGAGTCTAGGCTAGTTTAGTCTATAGATAGGATGGGCACATCCGGTTCAGGGCCTTTGGCAATTGGTACTGAGTACATCGCTGCTGCGCTACGCGTGAATCGGAAGTGGTGACGGCTCAGCGTGGAAGGAGACAGGCATAGCCAGACCTTCGGAGCGCCGGCCATAGCTGGGACTTGCGCTGTACTCTGCCAGCACGCAGGGGCTGACAGAGGTCTGGGTTATTGAGGTCTGCTGGAGGCGAGAGAAGTTGGTGCCCTGCTGGACCCTCCTCCGGAGTGGGGTTCCAGGGTTGTGATGCTGCAGCCATAGCTGCAGCTTCTTCCTCAGAGGTCATCTTGTCAGGAGTTGGTGGCGCTGCTGCAGACTTCCACCCGGGAAGTCTTCCGACGCTTCGTCATCATCAGATACTGTGGCGCTGGTCTTCTTCTTCATCCTCTGAGTGGCGCTTGGCCTCAGAGGCCTGTTTCAGGGTGGCACTTCCCTTTGGAGGCTGTATCTGGGTGGCGCTTGATGTTTCAGGGGCTCAGGGGTGTTACGGGTGGTTACTCAGGGTTGGGGAGTGAAGCGCTGCTCCTTTCTGAGCAGCGCACTGTAGTTCTGAAGTTATCCTGACAATTCGAGACTCTGAGTTTAATAAACAGAGTGGAACTGGGCTTGATGTTTCAGGGGCTCAGGGGTGTTACGGGTGGTTACTCAGGGTTGGGGAGTGAAGCGCTGCTCCTTTCTGAGCAGCGCACTGTAGTTCTGAAGTTATCCTGACAATTCGAGACTCTGAGTTTAATAAACAGAGTGGAACTGGGCTTGAACTATCATCGTTTCATTGTTGTCCTGGATGTGATCTGCTCAGCTTTTCTTTACGACTGGTTGTGAGGATTGAGCGGAGTGAATTGCACTTTCAGTGTACCCTGTCATATCGCATGGTCAAGTCTTCCGCTGTGTTATCTCTCCCTGTGCGGTGTGATACTCCTATCCTCTCTCCTTCCTTCTGTGTATGTATGGGCATACCTGGAAGTCTATGTGAGTGAGTGTTGGTCATCAGACAACAAACAACCAGAATCATAACATGGCAGTATGGGGAGGGTTTGCACATTGATTCTGGTTCATTCATTCATTGTTGTTGTCGACTCCTATTCTTAATACAATTCCAGCCCGCCGCGGCTTCGCTTGCGGCACACACCTCTTTCTCCTCTGCCCGTTTCGCTCCACCACAATCACACCCTTGCAAAAAGGAAGGGGAAAAAGGAAGGCACACCCAGGAACTACAACAGGCAGACCTGAGCTTGAATGTAACGAAGAGGACAACTCTGTGAGGTACGCCGGGCCAGCCAGCTTCTATAATAAAGTCTGGTTAAAATAAAATTAAAAATTAAAAAAAATAAAAAAAAATAAAAAAAAAACAACTCTGAGAGTCTGAGGTCGTTTTTTCTCTGTTGTGATGCGCCATAGGCAAGTCTCGAGCACATGACTTGGTGCAAACAGTCCCGTGTCTTCTCCCCTGGCATGGGCGTCGCTCCTCTACACAACACTCTACATGCACTTGGCCGAGGAAGTGTTCAAACTTCAAATGCGTGTACATTGTTCTGCGAGGAGCGAGGCCATATATTTGGGCAGTTGTGGGTGTATGGAGTATACCAACTGAGGGCAGCGTCGCACTGACGAAATGCACGATGCAACTTATGGCGGCGGATCTTCCTGTGTTCTAGCAGAAGATTCATTCCCGGTAAATGCACGATGCAACTTATGGCGGTGGATCTTCCTGTGTTCTAGCAGAAGATTCATTCCCGGTAGAATAGAAGATTCAGGGCCTCGCTCGACTACTCAAGAAATGTGCAAAAAGAGAATGAATCTTCAGCAAGGACATGGAAAGATACACCACCATATTTTTTGCCTTTTGCGCATGCGATGAGTAATGGAGCGAGGCCCTGATTCCCGTTTCATAAATTTATTTGGTGAGAGAAGAAAAAAAAACACAGTGAGTGGTGTACATACCCATATTCCAATATGGCGGTGCATATTCCCGTGTTCTAGCAGAAGATTCACTAGCGTTTTATTTTGCGCTTGGTCAGTGGTGTGGTGCGTGCTAAGGCCAGGCGCTACCGAGACGACACCCGCAGAAAAGAGCCAGCGCACACACCAAAAAAGAAAAAAACGGGTGAAAGCAAAACAACAAAGCCACGCGGCCACACCTCTGGAAATGCCACAAAACGACAAAACCCGGATATGCCCAACCAACCACAAAACGACAAAAAAAAAAAACAACAAGGCCTGTGGAGAATGTATCAAACGGGAATCGTGTCCAGAGTGCAGAAAGGTTCTACGTGAATATCCACCCATGCCGCCATACCACTGCTATGTACTTGTTCAAACATGAGGCGCCTCATTGCTCCCCTGTGCGACACTTCCCACGGCTTGTTCCGTCCCACCGGTACCACCTCCACCACCTCCCTCCTTGCATTTTCGTGGGCCGCACAAAGCATTACGCAGGGCCCGGGTTTGCTTTTAATAAGAGAAGATGTTGAGGGGGATGCTGGAGGAGGGAGTTGGTGGTTGGACGAGGGAGAAGTGACATTGTTTCTTGTTTGTGCTCTGCTTCTTCTTCCTCTTCTTCCATTCACATTTCTTCTTTGTCTATTTCTCTTTCCAAATTCCAATCTCTTTCCTTTCAGTTGCAATTGAACAGCATTGTCTTTCTTTGAGATTTTGCACTGTGAGATACCCACGATCGTAACAATCATCTTTCCTTTTCTTCTCTCCTTCGAGTGACTGAATGGTTTAGAAAATTTATAATAGAAAATAACCATGCGTATGATTTCAACAGCAGAATTATAATTGAGAAAGAATTGACTAAACAAATTTGTCACAAATTTGATAACTTAGTGAACCAGATTTGCTAGTTACACATCTAAAATAGTTTTGTTTGTTTGTTTGTTTGTTTGTTTGTTTGTTTGTTTGTAACTTTGTAGGCACTAACCTCAGCGACTTGCATGCTCTTGCTTCCGTATCGGAGCTTCTGCCTCTCCAGTATTGTTTGGTACGTCGCTAACGAATCCTGCAACTCCCCATACTTGAATTGCACAAGTCCAATCTGCTTCATGACCCGGAAAGTCGCTTGATCTTCTGGGCCGCAAATCTTCTCACAGTATACACGTGCCTTCCGCAGCTCCTCCAGTGCCTCTGAGTAGCGCTGAAACAGACAGACACACAGAGTCACACAAATCATATTTGTGTACAAGATGGGGCACCGCAGCTCCGCCCCGAGCGAAAAGAAGTACGGATGACGAGAAATGGACCCCCTCCTAAGCCCCGAGAACAAACGACCTATGCATACACTTAATCTCCATCCATCAATCGTGAAGATCGATGGCAAGCGGGACCTAGCAATTGAAGGCATTTTCTCTCCCCCATCCGAAATTTAGTGCAGACTGGTCAAAAAGAGACTCACCCAACTCGATTTTTACTATTTTTTAAAATTTTTCTAGGCTTTATATTGTAGGCTCGGTCGCCCTGGTGGTTTATCTGTCGCAAGTGCACTGGGCTGCAAAGATTTGAAATGCATCTCTGGGAGTTCGTATTGGGCCTAGTCCCTGGGGAAAACCATGTCTTGGTGTAAATCGATCTCACGTCTTGAGCATTGGATTGTCGGGTTTGAATCCTCCTGAAGAGGCTACTTGCGGGGTAGGCGAAACTCGTGGGGGAGAGGCCGCGCGGAAAGTGGGGCGATTGATGACCGATCCTGTTCTTCATTAGTGTAACTGTGGCATACTGTGCAGCCACACGGGCCTTGCAGGGCCCGTCCCGGACCTCCAGCCTGTTTCCCTACAGGGAAACTTCCAGGCTCTTGCCTGGAAGCTTCCTTCTGACAGGG